TTTTTTTTTTTTCTCCAGCAAGGAAACATTTTCATTGTGGACTACGAGCTGCTGGATGGTGTGGATGCCAATAAAACAGACCCGTGCACAATACAGTACTTGGCTGCACCCATCTGTCTGCTGTATAAGAATTTGGAGAATAAAATTGTACCCATTGCGATCCAGGTGGGTATACTGTCAGGGTCTTTAGAGGGACACATTGCTTGTTGTCTCATCTTAAACATGAATGACTTGGGGTTTTGTATTCTTTTGATATCTTTCAGCTTGGTCAAAAGCCCGGGCCAGACAATCCCATATTCCTTCCTTCAGATGCCACCTATGACTGGCTGCTAGCTAAAATTTGGGTTCGCTCATCTGATTTCCACATCCACCAGACAGTGACCCATCTCCTACGGACACACTTAGTGTCAGAGGTGTTCAGCATAGCTATGTTCCGGCAGCTGCCTGCTGTACATCCCCTCTTTAAGGTTGGTTCTTGCATGAAGGGATGTATGTGGATCAGGGAGCAACCATGTGACTAATGTGGGTCATGTTAGTTTGACAAACCAAAAGGAAGTGCTGGTGATAGCTCAGCTGAGATAGTTTGGTTTGTTGCCCTGCAAGGCAACATACAGCTAAGCCACCAGGACTTCCTGGACTTCAGACTTTACACCTGGTTGCTGTTGAATTCAATCAGGGAATTTGCCTTCTTTCACTGTTTGTCCCATTTCACAGCTCTTGGTGCCACATATGCGGTTCACAATAGCCATCAATACCAAAGCCCGAGAACAGCTCATCTGTGAATGTGGCCTTTTTGACAAGGTAAGTAATCCCATTTGTGAATCTTCCTTATTCTTCATGGTTCCATATGTGTGTTTATCCTTTAACCACCAGATATCGCCTTGTTTCTTGACTTTTCTACTAAAGGGCAAACATAACTAATACCCCTTGAGAAACTGGCACGTAGAACTGATGCCTTGTTGTAGTGAAGATGTCGTCTTTTACTTCTAAGTAGCCAATTCAGAACTGGCCAATGTCAGTACTGAGTCAGTATCTCACTTATTCATAGCTGTCGTGGTTTTGGCGTATGAGTATAGGAGTGCAAGGTAACATAATATGCACATACATCGCTGCACATATATGCACGTGGTTAAGCCCCCAATTTCTTTTAAGTACTCAGTTATTCATCTTGGGGCAGAGTGGTGAGGAAAAGAATTTGTGATTGCAAAAGGAAATTTTCATCTCAGAGAAGGATGTGTAGATAAGGTAGATTTTTAAGCCCAGAAATAATGGGTGTAGATTCCAGCCTGTCTTCTTGAATTGCCATAAACAGCAGACCTGCAGATCCGCAGATCCGCTAGGATTAAAGCTCAGCTTCATCTGAGTCAGTGAAACACAGCCGTATATCGTGATCTGTGGTGCAGCTCTTAGGCCAAATCTGAACATCTAAATCTGACTGCCCTGGTATTTAACGTGTACCCAGCTCTTCCTCCCTTGGCTACCCCAGATGGCATGCTGCATCTAGGCACTGCAACAGGCTGGCATGCAGCAGTCTCTGTGAGAACATGCTAGCAGCAAATGGGAAGTGTGGGGAGGCTTCAGCAGCCCTTCCAAAGAGGGAGCCTGTGTTTCAGGACAGGTCCCCTTACACGTCTGTTACCAGATCAAAAATAGCTTCCATGCTTCAAAGTTTTTCACCCAAGGAGAAAACAGAGGTTAAATCCAGGCACCTTATTTGTCTTCTGTACTCCACTGATGACTGTGGAGACCTGTCGGGCACTCCCATCCCTTTGAACAGAAGCATAATGCCCGTGCCCTGTGCATATGGGATGAGTGTATAGCTGAGACCTGCCAGCGGGGATCCTGGAGTTCCAGAATTTGTTGATTCTGATGTAGGTGAACAACGAGACGGAGGACGATAAGTGTAAGCTGACTACTGCTACAACACGAGCATCATATGCTAGGAAAGCAACATTTGGGAGCTTTTGTGCAGTGATTATCTAAAGAGTTTTTCAGTGCTGTTTGTTGTGGACACACTGTGTTTTCCAAGTGTTAACATTTCCCAAGTGTAATATACCGAACATATACCGAAACCCTGGTCGGTCCTCATCAGTAGCCACCCAGCGGGACTGGTTTCCTGGCTTAAATTCCAGGGTGGCTAATGGTAGCCTGCATTCCTAAACACTTTCTCCTAAACCATTATGCAGCATCAGTGGGTGGTTTAGCAAAAGCCCAGTTCTAACACACCCCTGGCTGCCTTCCTTCACACACATGTCAGTTCTGGAGCACAGGGCTGGCAGAAAGTACATTGGGTTCACACTTCGATGTTGCTGTACTTTATTGCTGTATTCCATTATAAGCAGGTGCTGTACCTATGGAGAAAATGTGGATATTAACAGGGATTCATGGGAGAGGTGTGAAATCTCTGAAGTCAAAATGCAAGTTGCAGTAGACCTCTGCAGTGCGGTATTTGTTTGAGTGGCGGTGTGGTTTTCTCGTTGAAAAACAGATTCACTAGCATTTTGAATACCATCTCCTGTGAATCTGGGAAGCCACTCTTAGCACAAAGTGAACATAATCTCCTATGTTCTTGTCTTGCCGTTCTTCTTGGAGGCAAATGCTACAGGTGGAGGAGGACATGTACAAATGGTGCAGAGAGCCATGAAAGACCTGACTTACAGCTCGCTCTGCTTCCCTGAGGAGATCAAAGCTAAAGGGATGGACAGCAAAGAGGATATCCCTTACTACTATTACCGGGATGACGGCATTAAAGTCTGGGAGGCTATAAAGAGGTAAGAGACCGTAGTTCTCGAAGTGGCTAATAATTCACTGTCACAGAGACACAATTTCATTTGCTCTCTGCTCACTTTGCTCTTCCTCACAGCCTTGTGAACAGCACCTGGGCTGTTTAGTCAAGTGGTGCCTTTTCCATCCAGCATATCTCATCTGAGGAAAAATATATAGTCAAGCACACACCCTTGAAAGACTGTTAATCCCCGCTTTTTTCAGCCCTGTAGGCCCTGTTATAAGCATGTACTCTTCTATGGGATTTCAGAGTTTAGTGAGTTGGAATTTAGCCCTGCAAAGGGAATTTAATTAGCTCTTCTTTTTTTTTAGCTATGCACAAACCAAGAGAGAAGCCAGCTCTCTGAGCCAGCCATGGGAGCTCGTCAAGGTTCTTATGGAGTGGAAATGTGAGCTTGGCTTGCATGAGAGTTGTGTTTTGAAACTCAATAAATTAGGCATTAACTGATTCAAGCAAAACCTTTCTTAAAATGCCTTAATCTTGCAATGCCCAAGTTTTGTCAGGAAGGGCATCAGTTCTGAGTCAGGTACTGCAAGGCTGCTCGACCACACAAACGTGGCTCCTTTTCAGATATGGAACACTACCTCAGAATAGAATGATTCATATGGGTTTTATTCTACAGTGGCATTTGATTTAACAAACAATGTATTTTTGCGTGGCGTAAGTTGCTTCCTAAATATGCAGCTGTTTCTGGTCTCATGGCTTTTGAAAAGTATGTTCATTAAAAATCAGGTCTTTTGTGTACACAAAGTTGGCGGTTTATAATGCACGCGTAGTGTTTGAAGTGTTGGATACACCTTTGTCTCCTGTGATTTCTCTGTGTTTTGGCAAGGGGTTATCTTGCAATGTTTCCTGCAATTGTTAGTGCCCATTTGAGAGAAAAGGAAGTTATAACTTTTCTGTGGTTGTTGTCTTGGTGTAGCCCGTTTTTTTGTCCCTCTTCTCTTTCCTGTGTTCCTTGCTGATTGAGATATGCCATTTCAAATACCAGATAGTACTTAGTCAACTCAATTTAGTTTGACTGTGGCTGTTACCCTAGCTGGATACACTGCCTCAAACTTGGCTAAGAGATTGTTCGTAAGTGAATAATTTGGTTTATGTTTGATATGGGCAGTGCCCTTTTGAGTGTGTGATGTTCTGACCATGAACCCACTGTCATGCATGTGTCTAGTCACCATGAACCTCCTACACTCTGCAGGGGTGTCAGTCTTCACTCTTGATGAAATATCCCCAGCATTGCTTCACACTTGGCAGATGGCCTAGACTTAAGAAAGCTGATACGGTTGTCCCTATAGAAACAATGAAGCTCACATGGCAAATTTTTATACCCCTTCTCTAGTACTCACCTTCTTATTTGTGATCTAACCCCAGATAGATATTCCAACCCAAAGATATTCCAACCCAAAAGACCTCACCCACACTTCATACACTAACTTATATTTGCATGGAACGGGGTCTAAAATGTTGCTGTTGTATAAGAGGGGGGTTACCTTCTGTATGCATTTGGTACAGGTTCCAGGTGGTGGAGGCAGAGCTCATGCAGGGCAGCTTTGTCTGTGTGTGGCAGG